TTCCATGAATAACATTTTCATCTCTCTTAGAAAAAGAAAACTTTCAAAAGTCATGCCTTGCATTTCCATCAGCATCTCAATCAGGTTCAGATGATGTTCAATAACATTGAATAAATATGGGTAAACAGATCTTTAATAACATACAACAAACAGGTACACTGCAATATTGCTGGGGGCAGCATAAATTGAACCAGTCCTCTGGACAAATATTTTGGCAGCAAGATTAACTGGCACAAAATATTCGCACCATCTGACCTACTAATTTCACTTTTTAGACTCTATCCTAGAGATTTTAAGAGAAGAAAAAAAGACTCTTCCGTTCAATAATATTCTTTTGCATTAAACAGGCAAAATGTCCCAACATATGAGATTTTTTTCAATGAAAAAATTGTATATACGACATAATATAATCCAGCCCACACAACATTAAAAAAAGTGTTTTTATGAGCCATCGAGTCACTTGTAGCTCATTGTTGTTGTTGTTGTTGTTGTTGTTGTTGTTGTTATGTGCCGTCGAGTCGTCTGCGACTCATAGTGACCCTACGTACAACAGCCCTAAACTCCGCTCTGTCCTTTGCCAATCGCACTGTCTCCGACACACCCATCCCGATTACCCCAGTCTCTGAATCAATCCACCTCATAGAGGGCCTTCCCCTCCTGTGCCGTCCCTCCACCCTCCCAAGCATGATGTCCCTCTCTAAGGACCTGTCCCTCCTTACATGTCCAAAGTATGTTAGACAGAGACTCAGAGACTCAGAATACTTGCCTCCAGGGAGCCGCCCAGTTTAACCCTTTCCAGGATGAATGTTTGTTTTCCTAGCAGTCCACGGTACCCTCAATACTGTTCTCCAGCACCACAGTTCAAAGGCATCAATTCTCCTTCTATCCTCCTTGGTCATTGTCCAACTCTCTGATGCATAACAAGTGATAGCAAAGACCATGGCCTGTATCAGACGCACCTTATTCTCCAGAGAGACACCATTGTTCTTTAGTACTTTGGAGAGGTTCCTAACAGCAGACTTTCCCACTGCGATACGTCTTTTAATTTCCTGGCTACTGATGGCAAGAGTGTTGAGTGTAGAGCCAAGCAAACTAAAGGTGTGAACAATCTCAATCTCTTCACCATCCATCCTGATACTGCCAATTGGTCCAGTGATGAGAATCTCTTTCTTCACATTGAGCCTCGATCCATATTGGAGGCTGTAGTCCTTGTAGCAACCCTATATACAACAGCTCTGAACCCTGCTCTATCCTGGGCCAATCTTACTGTCTCTGGCACACCTACCCCCATTATCCTAATCACTGAATCAATTCATCTCATCGAAGAGCAATGGCGCTCCACCCTTCCAAGCATGATGTTCCTTTCCAAGAACTGGTCACTCCTTGCAACATACCCAAAGTATGTCAGATGAAGCTGTAGTATCCTTGCCTCCAAGGAGCACCCTTGGTTTCACCCTTTCTAAGATGAACTTGTTTGTTCTCCTAGCAGTCCATGGTATATTCAATACTCTTCTCCAGCACCACAGCTCAAAGGAATCAATTCTCCTTCTATCATCCTCTAGTTACTGTCCAGCTTTCTGACACACAGAAAGTAACTGTGAAGACTATGGCCTGGATCAGGAGCACCTTAGTCTCCATATTGACATCTTTGCTCTTCAGTACTCTGGAGAGGTCCTGAGAGCAGACTTTTTCAGTGCAATTCCTCTTTTAATTTCTTGGGTGCTAGTACCAAGAGTGTTGATCATGGAATCAAGCAAACTAAAGCTATTAACAATCTCAGTCTCTACACTATTTATCATGATGCTGCCCTGTGGCCCAGAGAACTGCCAGAAGTACAAGCTGGGTTTAGAAGAGGCCGTAGTACTAGGGAATATTACAGCTAATGTCAGATGGATCTTGACTGAAAGCAGAGAGTACCAAAGGAATGTCTATCTGTGTTTCATTGACTATGCAAAAATACTTGACTGTGTGGATCACAACAAACTGTGGCAACCTTTGAGAAGAATGGGAATCCCAGACACTTGATTGTGCTTATATAAAACCTATACTTGGACTTTTGAGCTGTGGTGTTGGAGAAGAGTACTGAATATACACCATGGACTGCTAAGAGGAACAAACAGGTTCGTCTGGAAAGGGTTAAACCAGGCTGCTTCTTCAAGGCAAGGATTCTGAAGCTTCGTCTGACATACTTTGGAGATGCTGCAAGGAGGGACCACTTCTTAGAGAGGGACATCATGCTTGGGAGGGTAGAGGGACAGTGAAGGAGAGGAAGACCCTCAATGAGATGGACTGATTCAGTGACTGGGGTAGTGGGGGGTTAGGTGTGTCACAGACAATAAGATTGGCACAGGATAGATTAGGGTTTAAGGCTGTTGTACATAGGGTCGCTATGAATTGCTGGTGACTCAATGGCACATAAGAACAACAAAAGAATACACTTGGACCAGGAGGCAGTCAGAACAGAGCAAGGAAAACACTGTATGGTTCAAAGTTGGGAAGGGTGTATGCCAGGGATGTGTCCTGTCTCCATACCTTTTCTTTTTTTAAATTTAATTTTATTATTTGTGTGTGTGTGTGTGTGTGTACCGTCAAATCGGATCTGACTGGTACAGGAGGAGATTGCCCCTCCTTCTCCAGCAGAGCATCTGGTAGATTTGAACCGCATACCTCCGGACTTGCAGTATAGCTTCTTGCCACTAGGCCACCAGAGCTCCCCATAACTTTTCAATCTATATTCAGAATGGATCATCTGGGGAGCTGAGCTCTTTAAGGAGGAATGTGGCAGCAGGATTGGAGGAAGACTCATCAACAATCTGCATTATGCAGATGACACAAACCTGCTTGCCGAAACTTCAGGAGGACCTGAAACGCTTGCTTCAGGAGGTCAAGGACTGCAGCCTCCAATATGGATTAAAGCTCAACATCAAGAAAACAAAAAGACTCTCACTGCTAGGCTGATTGGCGGCCATGATAGACAGTGAAAAGATTGAGATTGTTAACAAAAGCTTTAGTTTGAAAGAGTAAATGATAAAAGAAAAGTCATTTCTGATAAGACTTGGAACCCTCACTACACAGACTAGGTAACAGTGAAATAGCTGCTTTTTTAAAACAGTGGAGTTATATGTGATATTTCCTTATTTTTTTAATTTCCGTTACAATTCATTTAGTGTTTATAAAATCTTTGTTAAAGTACAAAAGAAAATGTATTTTAATTCAGTCCACTGTGTTAACATTGTTGTTGTTGTTGTTATGTGCCGTCGAGTCGCCTGCGACTCATAGCGACCCTATGTACAACAGCCCTAAACTCCGCTCTGTCCTGTGCCAATTGCACTGTCTCTGACACTCCCATCCCAATTATCCCAGTCACTGAATCAATCCACCTCATAGAGGGCCTTCCTCTCCTGCACCGTCCCTCCACCCTCCCAAGCATGATGTCCCTCTCTAAGGACCGGTCTCTCCTCACTACATGTCCAAAGTAAGTTAGACGGAGCCTCAGAATCCTTGCCTCCAAGGAGCCACCCGGTTTAACCCTCTCTAGGACAAATCTATTTGTTTTCCTAGCAGTCCATGGTATTCTCAATACTCTTCTCCAGCACCACAGCTCAAAGGCATCAATTCTCCTTCTATCCTCCTTGGTCATTGTCCAACTCTCTGATGCATAACAGGTGATTGCGAAGACCATGGCCTGTATCAGACGCACCTTAGTCTCCAGAGAGACACCACTGCTCTTCAGCACTTTGGAGAGGTCCCTAACAGCAGACTTTCCCATGGCAATGCGCCTTTTAATTTCCTGGCTGCTGGTGCCAAGACTGTTGACTATGGAGCCAAGCAAACTAAAGCTGTGTACAATCTCAATCTCTTCACCATCCATCCTGATTCTGCCAATTGGTCCAGTGGTGAGAATCTTTGTCTTCTTGACATTGAGCCTCAATCCATATTGGAGGCTGCAGTCCTTGACACTCTACAGCAGGCGCTTCAGGTCCTCCTCAGTTTCAGCAAGCAGGGTTGTGTCATCCGCATAACGCAGATTGTTGATAAATCGTCCACCAATCCTGACCCCACATTTCTCCTCATAGAGCCCAGCCTCCCGGATAATTGTGTTATAACCTATGTACCATGTGTTAACATTAGGATTGCAAACAATAAACCTAGCATCCCTATCATCAACCACCACCAGAGAACTAATTTCTGGTACCCACAGGTTCTTCTGACATCTCCACTTTGAGGACTTCACCTGTCCCCAGACTTCATTGCAAGTTACTCAACTAGGTTGCATGTCAATGATCCTCCAACCCTGTCCAATCTTACTGCACAAAGGCACTGTATCTGGAAGCTACTCTCAGGAGGGACTAAATTAAAAGATGCCGAGGATTTAAATATAATAAAAATCATAAAAGTCAAAGCATACACATTTCACCTCTAAATTCCAAAAACAGTTTTAAATGCTAATATCCAATGCTGAATAGTCTCAAAAATGGACCACTCTCATACAAGGTAATCTGCTAAATTCTTTCAGAACAATTTGAGGACGTGTGCAAAAGAGTATTTAAAATATTTATACTCTTTAACCTGATAATTATACCTCTGTGTGGAAATAATCAGTGGATAAATATTTATGTACAAGGATATTTGCTGCAGCAGTCATTAAATGGCAAAAAAAAGGGGGGGGGGGATGACCAAAATGTCATTACATAAGGAACTAGGTAAATTACAGTTCATCCAAGTGATGAAGTAGGACACTAAACTGGCTAGGAGTAGGAGTCAGCCATGTTTTTGAAAAAAGATTCATGACGTGCAAATATACTGAAGAGAGGAGACTGAATAAAGAGGACTGTCTTCTGTATTTTTAGCTAGATATGAGGAGAGAACAAGTGAAATGCTTCTCCTTTGTATTTTGCAACTTTTCCTAAGTTTTCTGCAGTGATTACTTCTCATAACAAGAAACCCCACGTCCATCCAGTGCCCTGCCCACCACTTCAGGAGGGAACAGCAAAACTCACACGGATGGTACAGTCGTCTTTGCTCTTCTCTTGATGGGCTTCCTCCAGGTCTTTTTCTAGTCTTGTCCTCTCCTGTTGCAAGTCGCTCAGCTCCTGGGTGATCTTTTTAATAGTCCTACATAACCTGTGATTCTCTGTACTCTTGGTGAGGTTTTCAGAACGCAATTCAGCCAGAAGGGCTTCCTTTTCAGACAAGGCTGCCTCATACTCTTCAGACCCCTAAACAAGAAAGCAGAGGGGGAGGATGAGCTGATTTCCTTTCCTCATCAAACAAACCAAAACCTGTGTTCCATTTTTACCTTGGGGAACAAAGAAAAACTAAAATGATTAATTCAACATAAGCAACGTTCCAGACGTGAAACCTAACTATTAGGAAGACACTGAAATAGCACAGGGTAATATTATGATATTGCAAATGAACAGACCATAGTGGTTTCTCTCCTTCATAAACCCACAGAATACATAAAACATCATCATGCTTAGAGAATGTGTGATGACTCAGATTATCAACTCTCACCATCTATCTGATTTTTTTTCTGAAGCAATAGGAAATAATGTATGGCTTTCCTAAAAACTCCACTTTGAAAACATATTTTCTGAGTAAGAGGAGGAAAGGAACCCTCAAGTGTAAAGTTTCTTTTTAGTTCTATCTCATCAACCACTGTTAGAAGGATAGTGAAGGTAAGTCTGAGATTACAAAAACAGAGATATGTTTCTAGTGCCCCATGAGTTAAACCAAACTATTTCAATTACTGTTACAGTGAATTACAAAAAAGTAAAGCATGGAATATGAATCTTAGAAACCAAAGAGTCTTAAATTAGATTTAACAACTAACTTCTACTTCATAACCAAAAGCAACACTGTTGGAGAGACTGAGAAAGGAGAACTATAATGGTATTTTTTTTTCAAATAATGCAAGCTTTATTACATTATTAGCAGTAGGTGCACACTGTACATGTGAACATACCCACTGCTGCTGAGTCAATTCCATTCATAGTTAGCCTCCATCAAATTCCCAAGACTGTCCTCCTTTCTCCTGAGGAGCCACTGAGGGATTCAAACCACTGACCTTTCAGTTAGTAGCTCCACACATCATGCATTATGTCACTAAGGCTTACACATGAACTAGAAATGTTTTCTTAAAAACTAAATGAACACAAAACTGAAATTAGGACAAGAAAACATAAGTAGTGATGACTAAGCAGGTGTCTCTGTAAAGTAACCTTAAGGAAATAAAGAAACAATAGGCCACAACATCAAACCCGGGGCTTATCCTCTTATTAGTGCAAAAGAAAACAGATACCTAACAGGAAGCAGGAAAACTGAAAAGCACAAGTGAGGGAGAGCCAGGTGACAGAGTAAGATTCTGCAGTGACACTGGCTTCAGCTCAAATCCTAGGTCAAATCCATCACTTACCAGTTTTGTGACTTTAGTTACTTGAATCTCTCTAACCATGAGTTTCCTCAGATAAACCATGGAGAGTTAGTCTTGGCCTACAGCATGTGTCCAATAAATAAGCAGTTGCGCTGCCACCTCAAAGACAGGCTGTCTATGTCCACTGGCTGCTTTGAGGGTGAAAAAGGAGCAATCTTCTCCCCTGTGATTTGCCTCTGAAAACCCAATGGAGGGTCAACTACGTATGGGTCACTTCCTACTCAACAGCAACAAATCTGGGGCTAGGGGGGTACGATGTGCGTTAAACAACTGTTCCGTTTCAGCTTTGGCTCTGCCACTTGCCAGCTGTGAGGCACTGCATATCCTCCTTGAGCCTCAAAGACACCACAAAGCAGAGGTGAGGGTGGTTCTAATTCTCTTTCCCACAGGTTTGTACTAAAGAAATAATGAGATAATCCATACTTCTTGCACAGCCTACCACCTGGAACACAGTAAGTGAGCATTCCTAACTGTGGTGGTAAGTTAGCATCACTGTCATTATCATTAGGCAAGGAATCAAAATCCCCAGAAAGGAGAACTTCCAACACAGAGAATGCTGATGAGGTGACTGGAGAAGCACCCAAATCCCATGGAGCACTTCCCTTTAATTACTACTGCTACTGCTACTAATCATTGCTGTGTAGTCAGAAGCAACTCGTATCTGACCCTTCCTTGGGTTTCCAAAGCTACGAAAAGGATGGGAGGAAACTGCCCACCTTTCTCTGGTGGATGGAGTGGATGGTTAAGTCTGAAGCACCAGAGGTGCGGCCTTCAAGTTAGCAACACAGCTCCCTAGGGACTATGCCACCAGATCTCAGGTGGAGTGAATTCTACCAGTAAGACCCATCCGTAGTTTTTCCTTATCAAAATCATCCAAGTCCATTTCAGCTGCTACGTCCTGACCTCAAAGGAGTGGAGAATTAAAGGCACTGAAGCTCAAGCAAACACTTACCTGCAATTTCTGCCTCTGTGCCTTCTGAGAGGCCTCTCTGGCTTCAGCAAAAGCAGCAGTGAGTTCTTCAATTTCAGAGTGAAGTTTTTCAACCTGGGGTAAAACAAGGAATAGTAGCCAGGATGTAAACCCAACTCTCTTCTTTCTGCTCAATTGTGTAATGTTGAAAATCAAGAGCTTTGCTGTTAGATCCAACCTAAGTGAGATTCCTACTTTGGCAGTTTACTAGCTGGATGATTAAGCAACCAGACAAGGTACTTAACCTCTGTGCACCTCAAACCCCTCAAACTATAATACAAGGATACTTCTACTCCCCCAACTATAGAGCTTTTGGTGTTAAATGAAGTAATGTGTATAAATGGTACCATAAAGCCAGATCCATACTACTATCCATATAAATGGCCATCTCAACAGCCTAGAATTCCCGGAATTCTTCATCTTCTAGTAATCTGCTTTCTCTGAGTTCAGCCATGGACTACTATGGCTACCATGGCTACACTCTGGACTCTGCCAGTACCAAGGACAATTGCACCACTTGTATCTCTTCTCTCTGTGTAGCCTTTTCTGCTAATTTCAGTGTTAGCTAAGCCTGGAATTCTCAGCATATAACTGTTACTATATGTCAAATTTATTTTGACACTGTTGTTCTTGTGTTGTTAAGTGTCATCAAGTCATAGAAAACTAATAGTGACCTTATGAACTGAAGACCTGAACATGCACAACGTTCTTCGTTTCTGGAGGCAAGCTATATTGGAAGTAGATGCCACTCCTCCTTCTAAGCTTGTTTTAATATGTTGCCACACACTTTTAAATTGACAACCGTGCTTAGAAACATTTATTTTTCCTTCGATGTATTACTGTCATTTGCAGCAACATGTTTGAGAGCTCAATCAAACACTGTCCACCATGGGCAACCATTATCGCATCTGACACATCAGTGTCACAGTGTTTAGCATCACAGCAACCACGAGTTACCTGTGTACTGCAAATGGACAGACCAGTGCTATACCACTTAGAAGAATGTCTGACACTGCTGACTACTAAAACTCCTGCACTCCTGTAGCTTTTTTGTCAGCTTCTTGGTTAGCCTCATATTCCTGCGACCATTCCTGCTATCTCCTTTGCGCATTCCTTATTCTATCCTGAAGTTTTTAAGTTATCTGTTGTACCATCCCCTGCATTCTCTTAACTCCATACACTCTCCTTGGAAACTCAACTGACTGCCATTAAGTCATAGCCAGCCCACAGGTTTCTGAGGCTATTACAAGGACGGATATTGCCCATTTTTCTCTCTCAGCGCCACTGGTGGATTTAAACTGTCCAAGGCATGGCCTTTAGGTAAGAGGGGAACTCCTTAGGGACTACATCACCAGAGCTCCTCATTTAAGAATTTTCATCCTCCTTTGTACATGAGTGTCTCCTAGGTCTACCTCTTCAGACCTTGGCTTTCTTCAAGTTTTAGACTTGCATATCCACCTGTATCCTGGACTGTTAACCTAATAGTCCATGAGCCCCTCAAAGTCCACTTCCAGAAAGCACTCACTAGCCCAACCAGGCCTCATCTGACCTTCATACTACATCTTCTATGTTATCAACTGAGTTGGTGCAACAATCTAGTCAAGCAGGTCAGATATCTAAATCATCTTTGATTGTACTGTGTCTGAAATCTTGTATCTAATCATCAAATTTTCTCAATTCTAAATATTCTTCAAATAAGTCCACCCCTCTCCAACCTTACAGTCACTGCTCTAACCTGGCCTTCTTTGATGTGCAACTGGACTACTGGTCTACCTGCTTCCATTATTACCCTCCTCCAATCCACTCTCCTCATATAAACAGAGATTTTTCTAAACTGTAAATGTGATCAAATTCCTCCAGTTTAAAAGCCCATGATTTACTAGCTCCACCATCGGCTGGCTGGGCCCTTTGAATCGCTCCAGATTCTACTCTCACCTCAGTTAATTTTGTATTGTGGGCTCTGTCAACCAAAATGCTTGTGGTTCCACACACAGAAATGGGCTCTTTCGTAGCACAATACTTTTATCAGTGTCCCCTCATGTGTCTGGAACAGCCTCCCTGTCCCTGCTTCCCTTCCCAACCAACTCTTACTCCCCCTCGAAGATTCAGCTTCTCCTCTGGTAGCACTGTCCATGCCACACATAAACATTCTAATCTAGGTTAAGTGTCCATCCTTCAGCTCCCACACACCCTGCACAGCCTTCAACCACTCATCTATCATTCTTTCTCTTTCTTCTCCATGAGGCTTATAAGGAGAGCTGGGTTTGATTCTCTGCATCTGTCCTGAGCAGTTATTTGGAGCACAATAGATTGCTATATTAACGAAAGTCAAGAAACCATCATAAAATCATTAGGGTCCACAATCATGGCTTTGCCCTTTGCCATAATTTCCTGCACTATTCCAAATGATTAAAACTAGTATAGTGGCTTCCAATCATAGGTGGTTAACTGAGTGTTTGAAGTATCATAGTCTGAATTGAAATGGGCTATCAAGAATTCGAAAAAAGAATGCAAAATACTTTATCATTAACAATTTTGTTTTATTGGTTATATGTCAAAAAAACAAAATCATGTGCATTTTAGGTTCAATATATTCTTTTCATGTGTTTCTTCTTTTAATGTGGCTATTAGAAAATTTTAAATTATATATACAATTCACAGTATATTTCTATTGTAGTGAAGGATTTACCCAAAATTCAATGCCGCTGAGTCAATTCTGATGCATAGTGACTACAGGGCAGAGCAGCATGGCCCCAGCAGAACGGCCCCAACAGAATGGTCCCGGCGGCTTTCAGGGCAGAGCAGACCTGCCCCGATGGCTCTCCACAGAGAACTGCCCCTTTGGCTTTCCACAGAGCAGACCTGCCCCGATGGCTTTCCACAGAGAACTGCCCCTTTGGCTTTCCACAGAGCAGACCTGCCCTGATGGCTTTTTGCAGAGGAGAATTGCCCCCTAGGCTTTCCACAGAGCAGAACAGCCTCGGAGGCTTTCCAGGGCAGAGCAGAACTATCCCGTAGGATTTCCGGGGATGTAAATCTTTCCAGAAACAGACTGCTATATCATTCCTCTGCAGAATGACTGGCAGGTTTGAACTGCCAACTTTTCCACCACACTACCCAGGCTCTTGAATGCTAGACTGTTGTTGTTATGTGCCACCAAGTCAAATTGGCTCATGGCTGACTCTCCAGGAGGTTTTCAGAGACAATTATTACACAAGAGTAAACAACTCACCTTTCTCTCTCAGAGCAGCTGGTGGATTCAAATCATGTGTCCTTGGGTTGGCAGTGCAACTCTTCAGTCACTAGGCCCCCAGAAAATTTCAAATTGACTAAAAGATCATTTCCCCTCTGTCTATATTCATCTCACTCCTCTTATAAACATTTCACCTAAAGCTAAAATTTCAGGGTAGTACAAGCCAATCACAGCAGCTAATAAAGAACAATTTCACTTCAGGTACATCAGACATACCTCTTTTTCCTTTGATTTTAATGCGATGGTTAGACCCTGAATGGCTTTATCCCGCTTTAAACTATTTTTCTTTTCTATAGCAATTTCTCTTTCCTTCTCTCTCAGGTCCTCCTGAAGTGCCTAAATTAGATTAGAAAAACATTCACTAAGTTGATGCGTTCTAACCAAAATGCACTGTAAATATATCTTTAAGAGCACACTCAAACGCAGTTATTCTATCTTATTCCTGTCAACCTATGATTAATGTTTCCAAGTACAGCTGAACGTAGTGGCATCAGCTCTAAGTTACTGTGGTAGCGCTCACGGCAACAGGACTGGGCCAAGGAATGGGGATCAGATCAGTTAAGACGATGACAGCTATTCCTATGAGAAGGACTCTGGTGCCTTCTGGAATTTGAATACATCACATCAGAGTATTTTGGAGTCATGCCAGGTTATTTGAGGGAAATAACAGATCATTAATTTCATTCTTTAATGCTACAAAAGCTAGCAGAGATTTTGGTATGATGGAGATGAAACTATACACTTGAAATCTGAGTTCATTTCTAAAGATAATAACCATTGCCTCCCTCCCAGGCTGTTGCGAGAATCAAACAAGATAATGTGTGTGAAAGTGCTTTTCCAGGCTGGCAGGCACTAGACGAATGCTAGTGGCTGTGACTGGGGGACCACAGAGCAAGGACTTTGGAGTCAGATTCTTCCTGGCTGCACGATCTTGGGCAAGTCACCTCATCACTCTGAGCTTTAGGTGCTGCATGTTCAAAATGAGAAATCTCACTTCACAGTTATTGTAAAGAGGAAACATCTGTAAAGTGCTTGGAACTTGAGTGACACATAATGGAATTCAGTAAATGACAGTTATTATCACACAGAATCTTCTACCTCACTCATTCTCATCATTGTTGGAACCCACTGATAGCTGACCCTCCACTGGGTTTCCAAAGCTGACAATTATATGGGACAAGACTGCTCATCTTTCTCACAGGGCCACTGGTGGATTCAAACTAACAGAGGGGCATGCATAGCGATGGGCTGATCCAAGAGTCTACTTAGAGATTACCTCACCAGAGATCAAATTAACTACAGAACTCAGAACAAAACATGATGCAAGAACAGAGTAAACTTTCAGTAAACTATAAGAAGTTCTATCAACATACCTGGAGTTTCTCTTCAAAGGAATTTCTCTCCTTCTGATGCTCTAATATCAAAGCCTAAGAGAAGACATTCATTGGTGCAAAGAAGGAACTCTCCCTCCAATGGTTTCCCCAAAACACTAGTAGAATAAGCACCTCATTTATTTACTTCCTTGCAATATTCACAACTCATTAAAACTGAAGTTCCCTCCTTCCCTCTGGTCCACCCAAAGGCCTCACCAGTTAGAAGAAATGTGAAGACAAGTGATCCCCACTGAATGATTACAAATCAGAAAGCGCAGATCAAGAGGCTGCTAAACAAAATAAAAAAGGCTACGGAAGGATTTAGAAGCAGGAGTGGCATCCACTTCATAAACATGCCTCTGGAAACTCTATGAACTTTGAGAAACGACAGTTATACAAAGGCGTCATGTCTTCTGTTCATAGGGTCGCTGTGAGTCATGCTCAACTCAACGGCAATCAACAACAACAACAACTGAAGGATAGTACCAAGGAAGTGGGAAGGAGGGTTAAAGGAAACACTGATCACAGACAAAATTAACTGGTGAGGATAAAGGTTGAATCCCTATGGTGGGGACAAAGGTCTTGCTCCAAAAAGACAGCAAAACCTCCATGAACATCTAATGTGAATGGACTTTATGTAACAGTCCGTTTTGACCTAACAGGATTGTAAGGTCTCCACAAAGGGAACCCAAGTTTCCTGGTCCTGCCTACCCCGTGCAAAGTGGTTTGTCATGAAGGTTAAGAGGTATGGGAGGACGAGTCCTAACGGATTTTTTAAAGTAGGTGCATAGAGGCCACCTCTTCGAGCCTGAGAACCTGTTGCTAAGCTCTACAAAGGAACCATAAGCTCTTGTAAGGTGACCAAAAAGGACTAAATAAGATGGGGCACTGAAGCTCCTTACATGCTGACTGGCCCAATACAAGTTAGTGCTCTATCCGCACAGCCTCTGAAGTTTCAGAGCAAAGTTGCCTCAGAGGCCTCTAACCACAAAGGTAAAAGGGATATGTATACATGTATCACATCTTTATCCTTAGAAAGTCCAAAGGATGAAAATATAAAGACACCAGATAACAACATATTAGCAAATGGTTAAAAGAAAGGTGAACAGAAATGGGACTGTGTTTTAGCCAATACTTTATATAAACAAAAGGCTGAGAGAGAAAAAACAAAACACAACAGGGCCGCTGACAAATTCAGTCTCTGCTATTCCTCAGCTGACAAAGAGCTAATATCTAGAAGCAGACTGTGCGTGAACCATGGGGAATGAAGGTGTATTCCATTTCCCAGAGAGGAATCTGGGCTGCAAATTAAAGCCCCGCTTCTTGTCCCATTTCCTCACCTCTGTTTCTCTCTTCTTTTCTTCTCTCAGAGTAGCAGAAAGTCCTTGGAGCTCTCCAGACGACACATTCGCATCAGCAGATGCCATCTGAGATTTCTCCTCTTTAAGGCACTGAATTAAAGCTTCTTTGCTCTTCAAAGACAGCTTCAACTCCTCAATCAGTCTGAAAAAGAACAAAATTTAAATATTAATTCTGAGCTGTTCTCTTAGCTCAGTGGAGCAGGAGGAGGCAGAAAATGAGGCCCAAACAGCTTCAAAGTAGACATGTCCAACGACTGCAAATAACAGAGTCACATTTTGCAAGTCGGAGATTAAGGGCCAGAATTCGCATACCATTAACCAGTCTTTTTACCGTGGCCCGCCTAGTCGAGCCAATATCTCAACTAGCAGATCATGGTCTGATCTAGTCACACCCCTGCTCAAAAACCTTCAATGGTCCCCACCATCCAAAGAAACCTTTTTTCCCAAAAGAAACTGGTACTGAAGCCCAAAGAAACACCAACAAAGCAGAAGTATTCTAGTGATGTGGAAGAACATACTGACTTTCAAGATAAAGTTTAAATTCACTATTGTGTTCAAGGGTCTAGATTTTCATGCCCAGATGATCAGAGAGGCCCCTGCCACAGCTTCAATATCTTTTTTTAAGGGAAATCATCATCCTTTACATCAATCGCTGACAAACCTCACTTCCAGTTCTTCCTACAAGCAAAGCCGTTTCAAGCTTCAAGACCTCTGCCCACACTGTTCCCATTACCTAGAATGCAGTTTCCAACCTTACTCCCCCTTTTAAACACTATTAGTCCTGCAAGAATTATGATTCACCTACCCTAAAGGAAACTTACATTCTTATGACTGCCATCAGGTAGAGCTAAACACATCCTGCTGCTGGCTACCATATTACCTCCTATCATCTGCCCTTGACCACAGCAAGTTGTTTAACCTTGCTGAAACCAACATTTTCTCAGCCACAGAGATAATAACTTATTTGTGTGGAGTGGAGATTAGCTATTTAAAACAGCTCTACAGAACTCCCAGCATATGGCAGAACTCAGTAACTGACAGTTGTTATAATTATTGCCTTTTTTTAAATTTCTTAACATGAGGCTTTATCCAGCATGATTATTTGTTTGATTGTTTTGAAACTGCTTTATTGAGGTAGAGTTCACATATTATACAATTCACCCATTTAAATCATTACTTGTTTCAGTATTTGGCAATTAGCATTTTATCAAAGGACCCTCAGAAGTGTCTTTCTATAGCTAAGCATAGAACGTAACTTGATATGTAGAAAGAGGAAAGTTTTGGATATCTGGCAGATGGATCCATGTTGCTCGGGTGTGGATGGGAAAAACTAGTTGGGAAAGGCCTGGGTATCGTGTTTTCAAGGACTAAATAAGAGTGGGGGGGGGGAATCCTTATCAAGAAGAAAGAAAGGCATATGCAGCAAAGCACCCAATAAGGCTTCTAGTACAGAAGGTCCAAGGTGGCACAAGAGCAATGTTGCTCCAAGACATAAAAACTGGAGGGACTTAGGTCAAGTGGAGGCTGTGGCCTCTCTGGAATACCTGGCCCATCTCATGCAGTCTCATTCAATCCAGCAAGACAATGTACTACTACAACTTCCAGGTTTTCAAGAAAAGCTAGAAATCCAGACTTCTACAAGAATTTTTTTTGAGGCTTATTTATTTAAATATTGGCAACTGGTTTGCATTTTTTAAAACCGTGTGGAGGACAAATAAAACTTATCTTTTGACCATACTGGCCTACTGCACCCCTCACTGTTGACTTTCTTAAAGATATAAAACAGCACAAAAGCTAGACTAAAGGATAAAGCAGTTCAAGAATGTACCTTTGAAGAGGGTTGTGGGCACCCAGAAAGATACTGCAATGTCCATTCAATGCCCTGGGCAGCAAAGCTCCAACAGTCTACCTGCCCACCAGTGGGTCAATCAGTGTTCTGGATCAAGTTTCATTTCAACAGGGCATAACCAAGGACTTCTGTTCCAAATCAGTGCTTACCAACTAACCTTAATCTCTATGTGGCACGCTTGTCTGCAGGGGAAGAATAATACCCTTATCCCAATCCCAGGAGAGTTCTACCACAGAGAGCCATGCTCTCAGCTAGAATCTAAGGCTGACATCTCTGGCTAGACGGCCACGGCCCTAGGCCCAAATCCAGTCAATCAACAGGCCCATGGATCTCAGTAATACTTTTTTTTTAAAAAGAAAAAAAAAGTAAGTTCACAATTATGTATGGAGTTTATTAAGGAAGGTTACAGGTTAAAATTCAGGTTGGAAATAGAATATAAACTATTCAATCAGGGCAACTGCTCGAGTATGCTGGCAGGTGCTTTGACCTTCAGCTTTAGATCAATGTTACAAAGCTCTCTAGTTACTGCTGTTATGTACCATCAAGTCAGAACCAACTCTTCGCTGACCCTCCAGTGGGTTTTCAGAAGCTGTAAATCATAAAGTAGAGGACAGTTAATCTTTCTCCCAGAAAGCTAATGGATTTGAACCATGTGTCTTTCAGTTGGCAGCGTAACTCTTTACTACTAGGACCCCATAGCCCCCACAAAGCTCTATCAGTCCTGCCAATCACAGCCTTCCTGCTCCCCACTCACCCAGTCCTCCAACAAGCTTGGTCCAGGATGTGTGGAACAAAACAACAGTCTAGCAATGGTCCTTGGTTCTCTGCTACTCCAGCAAGTCAATTCTACCTTTTAAGTATCTCTGCCTTTTCATCTCCACTCCCAGTTCTATTATTTTGGTCCTGGCCACCACTATGATAAGCCTCAGAACCAATCTTACTTAAGAGCCTTACTTAACCCCACCTCTAATTCATTCTCCATGGGATAGCCAGATACAGTCATTTAGAGCTTTTTTCCCCCCAGTTCTTTTGTAATACAGTGTTTCCTCTTGTCCTTGGACGTTTAAACATATGGTTGGTTCCACTGTGCCAGGAAAACCGTTTTTGCCCATTCTTTCTTTAAATAAATCCTCTTCATTCTAGTACTCCCTCCAGGAAACCTTCCGTAATCTTCCTAAATCAGACACATTAAAGACTCAGGATTTATCCCATATGAAACTTATTTCAATGGGACTTCCAGGCAAAGACACACTAAAAAGGAAGACCTGGCAATTTACTTCAAAATCACTAAAAAAAATTTTAAAAAAATCACTGGCTAGTGAAAACAGTAGCAGTGTGACACTGTCTGGGGCAGTGGCAGAAGATGAGTCCCTCAGGCTGGAAGGCTCTCAAAACACAACTGTGGAAGAGTTGCCTCCTCAAATCAGAGGTGCTGAGATGACAGAGAAACTCAATTTTATTAGACAGAACAAAGCCAAAGTTTGACTTGTTCATATGCAAAGTTCACATTGAATGTGAAGAAAATTAGAACAAGTCAATGAGAGCCAATCTGGAAGCAGGAATGGCATCCACTTCCTAAACAACATGCCTCTGGAAACTCTATGAACTTTGATAGAAAGGCTTCAGGCCTTTTGTTCAAAGGGTCATTACGTGCTCCATTCAGCAACAAGAAAAGCCAATGTGCTATCTTGAGTTTATCTACCTAAATTTAGAGTCTATCTCAAAAACAAATTTGATGCACTGAACACTAACGAGTGAAGACCAGACAAGCTGAGATGACAACAAAGACCTCATACATGAAGAAGAAAATGGTCATTTAGAAGATAGGCAAAAAAAGGAAAAGATTACAATGCATGCCAAAAGAAAATAAAACGTAACACTGAATTGGGATCAGCGACAGTGAAAGGAAGAAATGACGATATAAGACTGCTTAACAGAAGATTGTAAAGGATGGCTCAAAAACACAAAATGAAGTATTACAACAATATATGCAAAGAACAGGCACTAGGAAAACTAAAAGAAAAGAACGTTTGCAGCATTTCTAAAGATGAAAGAAATGAAAAAAAGTCAAGCTGTAAGTTGCAATAGTGAAAGATTTTAAGAGCAAAATACTAAATGGTCCAAAAACCATCAAAAGATGGAAGGACCATACTACAACAAAAAGAAGTGGTCAACGTTCACTCATTTTAGAAGGTAGCATGTGCTCAAGAACTTCCAGTGATAGTGGGAGGAAAAGTCAAGCTGCTTCGAAGAAAATCAAAAGGAAAAAAAATAGGTATTTACAGTGTATCAGTGGAAATGTCTCATCAAATAGATGCACATTTCTCTTTGTCAACTAACTGGCCAGCCAATTGAAGGAAATGTATACAATCTACCCACCATTCAAAAGAAAGGTGATCCAACAAAATACAGAAATTATCAAGTAATATCATTAATATCACACACAAGATAGTTCGAAAATGGTTGGAGCAGTACATTGACAGGGGATTGCCAAAATTTAAACCAGATGGATCTTGGCTAAAAGCAGAGAATACCAGAAGGATGTTTCCCTGGGCAAGTCAATGGATATGTCTATCAATGATAGATTCCACTATAAAGAATGGAAATTCCAGAATTTAGTATTATATGGAAACTGCACAGAGATTATCTGAGCAAAACAAGGGGCCACTGTGTCATTTATAATCACCAAAGTTAGGTCACTTAAATAATGGAGACTGTGGGGCTCTCCCTCAAAATCTATTTGATCCTCTTTAACAGATAGAGTGAAAAGGTCTACTTTCATTTCCCAGCCCATAAACACACACAAGTAGCTAATCCAAAGGTCAAAAGACAAGGGGAAGGAAAAAGTAAGCAAATAACTGTTGGGGAGCCAGAAAAACCAGGCACAAAATCTAAACAACATGATGAGCCTGTCAATGCAGGGTACTGAGCTACCTAGAAAAAGCAACCAGAGTCAGCATCTTCTATTTAAAGAAGCAGAAAATAGGTCATTTTCTTTTAAATTCCGTGGATAGGTTACCAATTAGCCAGAAATTCTGCTCATATTTAGTTAATTCCACCTTTTACTTATTTACTGTCAAAGCAAGACAGCATGTCTAAACTTCAGGTTCCTGGAAAAGAATAAAATCTCAACTGTTTCCTGACAAGTTGTTTGTTTTGGTTTTTTCATAATCAAAAGTTTGATTGCAAGACATGAAGGCCATAAGCTTCTTCCATTTCTCTGCGCTAAATGACACACATTTGATTCCCGTATCATCAAAACTCTGAACATGTTCCAACACTGTTTTGGCCCC